ATGATCCAGCAATCATATGATGTTGTTGTTAGGTGCCATCGAGTTGGTACCAACTCATAGCAAGCCTATGCACAACAGAATGAAACACTGCCCAGTTCTTGGCCAACCTCATAACTGTTAACACATGAGCCCATTGATGCTGCCAATTTGCCAATCCATCTCACTTCCTCTTTTTCTCTGACCCTCCACCTTACCAAACATGATATTCTTCTCCAGAGACTGGTCCCTCCTGAAAATATGTCCGAAGTATGAGAGATGAAGTTTGACCATCCTGGCCTCCATGGAGCACTCTGGCTGTACTTCTTCCAACACAGATCTGTTGGTTCTTTTGGCAGCCTATGGCACTTTCAATAGTCTCCTCCAACACTATAACTCAAAAGCATCAGTTTTCTATGGTCTTCCTTATTCACTGTCCAGCTTTCACATGCATATGAGGTTATTGAAAATACCATGGCTTGGGTCAGATGCACCTTAGTCCTCAAGCTGACATCTTTGCTCTTCAACACTTTAAGAAGGTCTTGTGCAGTAGATTTGCCTAATGCAATACAACATTTGATTTCTACTGCTTCCATGATAGGAAGTCCTTGACAACTTCAACCTTTTCTCTGTTGATAAGAATGTTGTTTATTGATCCAGTGGTGAGGATTTTTGTTTAATTTACATTGAGATGCAATCCATGCCTAATGCTGTGGCCTTTGATATTCATTAGTAACTACTTTAAGTACTCTTCACTTTCAACAAGCAAGGTTGTATCATCTGCATATCGCAGGTTGTTAGCAGTGGCACAAAAAAATATGATCATACCCTTGTTCATTGAAGCATTATTCACAATAGCAAAATGCGGATAAATAGGTAAATTATGGTACATACACATACACACAATAGAATACTACTCAATGTTAGAGAATAATGACAAATGTGTCCAACACTTCATAACATGGATGAACCTAGAGAGCATCATGCTGAGTGAAATAAGTTCAATTACAAAAGGACAATATTGTATGAGACCACTACTGTAGAAAGTCAAGGAAAGGCTTACACATAGAAACATTGTTTTGAAAGTTACCAGGGATGTGAGGGGAAGGGAGGGCAAATCACTAACTAATGGGTAAGGCAGTAAGGGAGAAGTTATCTCAAAATGATCAAGGCAAGGAAGACACTGAGAGGAACACATGTGTTAAAGGCAAAAGGTAGATACTATTATATACCCAATCCTGCGATAACAGTTAAATCAATAATATACAAGTGGATACATACCTAGACACTCAGGCTGAACAAGGAGTGGGAAGGCAAATGGGACCACACTCATAAATATATATAGATTTGACAGGATATTCCTACACATGTGTTATATGAGCTGTAAATATATCACGACTATGGTTAACCATTATTGTTGTTGTTAAGTGCTGTCAAGTTGATTCTGACTCATAGTGACTCTGTATGGGGTTTCCAAGGAGCAGTTGATGGATTTGAACTACTGACTTTGTCATTAGTAGTCAAGTGCTTATCCTACAGCAGTGGGAAAAATTATGGAAATGTTTTAGCCATAATCAAACACCTTGAGGGAATGGGTCATTGGGCTGACTTGAGGGCACTTAACAACAAACAACAACAAAAAAAATTCAGTGAGCATTTTGATACATTATAATTTACAAATTGACTAATTCTTTTGTCAGTAGAATCCAGGAGTGAAAAAATTCAAGAAAAGGTTTACACACAGCAATGTTTGATGGTTACCAGAGATGGGATTGGGGAGGGAGGGAAAATCACTTCTTTCTGTCAAAATTTATAACATCATTCACAGACCATACAAAATTATCAGCTTAAAAAATTAGCCTGGTATGGTGCTGTGGGTTAATGCGCTGGGCTGCAAAATTGGTTTGAACTGCAAGGTCGGCGGTTCAAGCTCATAAGCTGCTCCTTGGAAACCCTATACTGGGTGGCTAATAGTTGGGGCCAACTCGACGGCATTTAACAACAATAGTGTGATGGCTGGAACGCAGTTCTTTGCAGAGCCAGACCAATTGATTTCCCTGGCTTGTAGGCTGGACGTTCCCCACCCATGACCTAGATGTTATTGTTTTTTTGTTATGTGCCTTTGAATTGGTATGGACTCATACTGAGGAGCAGCTGATACACTTAAATCACCAACCTTGCAGTTCAAACTGACCTTGCAGTCCAGTGCATTAACTCACAGCTCCACACCAGGCCACACCAAATGCTTTTTAGCAGCTGAGGGACAGACATTCCCCATCACTTACCTAGGTATTTGCTGTTACTGCTAAGTGCCATCGAGTTGGTTCCTATTAATAGCCACCCTTTAGCTCTTGTAGTGGTCAGCCTGCCAACCTCAAGGTCAGCAATTTGAAACTACCAGTGGTTCTGCAGGAGAAAGATGAGGCGTTCTGCTACCATAAAGATTTACAGCCTCGGACCCTGTGCAGGGTTGCTATGAGTCAGAACTGACCCCACAGTACTTAACAACAACAACAACATAGGGTTTTCCAAGAGTGGCTGGTGGGTTTGAACCACTAACCTTGAGGTTAGCAGTCCAGTGCTTATCCTACAGCCCCACACCAGGACTCCAACTAGATGGTAGACAAATATTAACATGGGTGAAAGAAAAAGCCAAAATGTAGTAAGAGTGAGGTCATTACAATATAACCAAGGTAAAGGGAGACACTGGGAGATGCAGAGTTAAAGGCCACAATGGTAAATATTACTATAGACACAATCTTTCAATAACAGAACCAATAAACAATAATTTACAACAATGTGATGGCTGGAGTCTTGGTATGGTGTTGTGGGTAAATGCGCTGGACAGCAAAGTCAATTTGAACTACAAGGTCAGTGGTTCAAGCTCACCAGCTTCTCCTTGGAAATCCTATACAGTGTCGTTAAGGGTTGTGACTGACTTGATGGCACTTAGCAACTACAACTATGGGTAGACATGTAAACTGACCAGGTGTGGGATAGAGTATGGGAGTATGCCCATGGGCATATATAGGTTTGGCAGAGGATATTTCTACTTATGTATTTGTATGTGCTGCAAATATATCCAGATATATAGTAGAACATACAGGGGCAAAGTTATAAACACTTATTAGCCATAACCAAACACCTTGAGGGATTGAGTCACTGAACTTGAGAACTTTATTAGCATATCATAGTCCACAAAGACCATGTTCTACATTCTACTTTGCTAAGTAGGGACTTGTTGTTAAGTGCCGTTGAGTCAGTTTCAACTCATAGCGACATTGTATAGGGTTTCCAGAGAGTGGCTGATGAGCTTAAGCTGCCAACCTTGTGGTTCACACCAACCTTGCAGTTCAGTGCATTAGCACGCAGCACCATACCAGGACTCCAAGTAGGGCCTAGGGTCTTAAAAACTTGTGAGCAGCCATCTAAGTTACAACTGTTGGTCTTTTCCCATCCAGAGCAAAGAAGAGTGAAAGTCAACAACTCTAGGAAACAATTAGTACAAAGTATTAATGGACCACACGAATCACAACCTCCGTGATGCCGAGACCAGAAGAACTAGATGGTGACCACTACAGCTTGGGAGAAAATGTAGAACAAAATTCACACTCATAAAAAAGACCAGACATACTGATTTAATAGAAACTGGTGGAACCCCCAAGGCTATGGTCATTCAAATTTGGGAATTGAACCAACTTCCAGGGACCACCTTTCAGCCAAGTGATAGGCAGGACCATAAAGTGAACAATAATACCCTGAGGAACAGTGCCTTAAAATAATCAATCATATAAGACCAAAAGGGCAACACTTACCCCAAAGCAATTCAGAAAGCAGGAAAAGGCAGGAAGATAAGCAAATAGGAACAAGGATCTTAGAGGAAGTGGAAAGGGTGCTATTACATTGAGGGGATTGCAATACCACGACACAAAATGTATACACACTGTTGAATGGAAAACTAACTTGCTCTGTAAACTTTCACCCCAAACACAACAAAATGTTAAACAACAACAACAACAAAAAAGCTAGTGTTCTAGATTTTTATGAGAATTCTGGGTTTTTAATGCCGGCAACTAATTCAAAAATTTAAAAGCATTCTGGGCCAAGCTACCATCTATGAGCCAAGTATGGGCCTTTGGCCTATGAGATATCTGGGAGCAGATTATTAGATAGTTACCAGTGGGCCAAAGCAGAAACTTTGTCACCAGGGAGCTGATGTCACAATGGCATCAAGAATCACTTTTACTTAAAGCTTAATTGATCTGAGAAGCCAGAAGTTTTAAGCTCTGTCTCATATTTTGTGAACATGAATTAGTATAAAAAAAGCCCTATACTTGGAATCTGGGAACATGACCCTGTTCTCAGTACTGCCATCAATAGATCATGTACAGGGTTGGAAAACTCATTTAATTTCCCCAGGCTTCCAGTATACTTCCCACACGAGAAGGTAAGATAAGATATGTGAATCTTTCAAATTCTTTATTTCTAAAAATATTCTATCAGAAAGCCAAAAGACATGTGAACATGAAATGAAAAAGAAGCTTCTTATCATCTTTAAATCATGTTCACCTACAGAAGAATGAACTACATTTCTGATGTTGCTGTATTGGTGTTATGTGCCGTCCAGTCGATTCCGATTCATAGCAACCCAGTACAGGGTTTCGTAGGAGTGGCTGGTGAATTTGAACTGCCATTCTTGCATTCAAAGTGATTTTTGCTGTATACACTATCTAAATGGGTTGAATTTTCAAGGGAGAGTGAAAAAAAAAAAAGTTTGAAAATCAAGGAACAGTGGAAATTCAAATCTCCACCAAAGTATTTCTAATTTCACATTTTCCTGTCACCAAAACATTGCCACAATATGCTAAATGCTGTAACTATTTTTGAAAAAGGGTAGAATCAACATTTATAATTTACAATCAGGTGATGCTTGGACATTTACTGTTGTTATATCTGATTTTTTGTAAATAAAAAATCACAAGCTATTAATAGCCAACTGTTGACAATGTCTTCAGAATGCATAATTACTTTAATTCTGTAATGACTGCTTCCAGTTTTTCCCTAAGGGCACCACAAAATTCACCCACCTTTTCCTCTTTTCTATAAAACTGAAAGGTTGGTAAGCACATGATCCCACAGTCTTTAGTCAGCTCCTCACACTCATCAGCATTCACTTCAAGGAACACCACATCGTCGTACTTGTAAGACAGGGCATTGAACAGTGGCTTGATTATCTTGCAGGGTCCGCACCAAGTGGCGAAGAAATCCACAACCACCAGCTTCTCCCCAGCCTCTTTAAGCACGGCTTCAAAGTCCTCCTTGTTCTGGATCACCTTCACCTTGTCGCTTTCCAAGGGCTCAGTTGTTTCTTCTGAAGCCTTGGAAGTGTTGTCTTCCAGGAACTTGACTGTTTGTTCTGAATATTTCAGAGTGTAACCTTCCACGGGCTCTGTCGTTTGTTCTGACAAGCTCCGAGACGCGCATTTCTCCCATTGGGCTGCATCTATGGAGGTCTCCTTCGTAGGTTGCAATGCTTTGGGTACCTCAGGCTCCTCCGTGTTCTTAGGTGCCAATGTCTTCTCCTGAGCCTGGGCTGGTACTGAGAACTCTAGGACCAGTTCAGTTGCCTTGCTGGACCGAACCTGTAATGAACTTTCTAAACAAAAAAAGTAAATATGATAAAATTTCAAATGAAGAAACAAAGTTTAATCATTTTAATCATATACTGCTAGGAAAACTGATGACAATCTTAGAGATAAATCTGAATTCTGATAAAGGACATATTAATTTAAATAATCACATTCAAGAGAAGGTCAAGCAGCACGGGATTACAGTATCTTTTATAGAACGTTTTTATTTTTTTAACTACAATGTTCTTTGCTGGATTAAACACTGTTGACTAACTAACTACTCCCTAGCAATCTGGTCCCAGAGGTGATTGTTTTCCTTCCCCATACCGTTAGTGCTGCCTTCTTTGGTTTCTTCTTGATTGTCCAACCTCATTTTCACTTCTTCCAGAGTTCCAACTTTATTACTTTCCATTTTCAGTTCTCCCTCTACCTCCACTTCTTATACTTCATATATGCTTCATAGTGAGGATGCAGCCATACCCTCCAGCTTTTTCCAACCTAACATCATAATAGGAGTGATAACTTGTATTTGTGAAGTACTTATACCTGGTTTCCCTTATCTACACTCACAGTAATATTTGAGTGCCTCATGACACTTTAGGTGATTAACCTGCTTAGAGAGGCTGTCTGGAGTGCCTAGTATTCATTCATAAGCATTATTTCATAACAGTGAGGTAAATACCATTATGATCACCACTTTTACAAATGAGAAAACTGAGGCTTGAAAAAGTTTATGTAACTTGAATGAGGTCATAAAGCTAATATGCATAGCAGATGCCAAAACCCACACCCTTGACTGCTACACTATGCTGTACTGTTTGCTAGATGCCCTATTGGTAACCTGAAACCAACTCTCCTTCAGTATTCTCCAGCTGTAGCTTTCTCCTGTATGACTCACCCATAATAACTGTGTACTAAAAATATCCTTAAAATTTTTTTTTCCCAAAGAATATTTAATGGCATTGGAAAACGCTCATCTTATATACACACAATGGTAGGGGGAAGGATACAAAACAGTAACATAACACATGATCCCAACTATAGGAAAACAGCTATCTACATAAAAACAAGACCAGAAGGAAATATATCTAAATAAGGAAGACTGTAGAAGAATTGATGCTTTTGAGTTATGGTGTTGGAGGAGAATATTGAAAGTGCCATGGGCTGCCAAAAGAACCAACAGATCTGTGTTGGAAGAAGTGCAGCCAGAGTGCTCCTTGAAGGCCTAGATGGCCAAACTTTGTCTCTCATACTTTAGACATTGTCAGGAGGGACCAGTTGCTGGAGAAGGATATCATGTTTGGTAAGGTGGAGGGTCAGAGAAGAAGAGGAAGACCCCCAAAGAGATGGATTGGCCAAGTAGCAGCATTGATAGACTCAAGTGTGGCAACAGTAGTGAGGTTGGGCCAGGATTGGGCAGTGTTTCATTCTGCTGTGCATAAGGTCACTATGAGTTGGCACCTACTTGATGGCACCTAACAACAACAACAATGACATTTATTTCTGAGTAGTGCTATTATGGTTTATATTCATTTCACTTAAGAGTATCCTTTTAACCATGCTATCCTCCTCTGCAAAATTCTACTCATGGGCAGATGTCCAGAAAATTAAGATCAATCTCATACCAAGCTGTGCCTCACCACCTCCCTGCTCCACAAACCCCATCTGTGCATACTACCAACCCATCTTGGAGCAGCCTCCTTGTGCCCAGTTCCATTAGCCACATTTATCCTATACTATGGTTACGAATTGGGCTGCGAACCTCAGGGTCAGCAGTTCGAATCTACCAGCTGTTCCGCGGGAGAAAGATGAGGCTTTCTGCTCCTGTAAAGATTTGCAGCCTTGGAAACCCTGTTAAGTGTCACTATGAGTTGGAATTGGCTCCATGGCACATAACATAATCCTATACTATGGAATTTGAATCCAAATCTCTTTCCACTAGGAAGATTCTTTAATCATTTCAGAACAACTTACATGTTTTCTAGTGTAACAACTTACATGTTTACTGAAGTGGAAATTTTGCATTTTCCACACATGCTTAGATTGTGCAAATTATCACTCCAGCAATGTAGGTGCTTATATCAAGAGGATTGCCTCAATGATAACACCTCTATGTTGTCTGTGGTGGTGATCATGTGCCATGGAGTCAGAACTGACTCATAGCGACCCTGTACAGGGTTTCCAAGGCTGTAAATCTGTACGGGAGCAGAAAGCCTCATCTTTCTCCCGTGGAACAGCTGGTAGTTTCAAACTGCTGACCTCAAGGTTCGCAGCCCGATTCATAACCACGAGGCTACCAGAGCTCCTTTATGTTGTCTGTAGGCAGTCAAAACATCTAACAGTATGACTTAATGATCTGGAAGAAGATGGGCAAAGGAGGTGGAAGAGAGAGACCTTAGCAAATCCATAGTACTTAAAAAAATAATAATAATTGTAGTAGAAATATTACACAAAATCTTTAAAATGTCAGTAATATCCACATGTATATTTCAGTGCCATTGATTACATTCTTCATGTCATGAAACCTTTATCACTAACCTTTCCAAATAATTTCACCACTATTAATTTAAACTCGATATGCTAGATTGCAAGGTCAGTTTGAACCACAAAGTTGGTGGCTGCTCCTTGGATACCTTTTACAGGGACGCTATGAGTCAGAACTGACTCGATAACACTTACCAACAACAACAATGTTGCCTAAGCAAATTTTCCCCTTTCCCTCTCCCTCCCACCACTGTTGTTGTTGTTAAGTGGCATCGAGTCGGTTCTGACTCATAGCAACCCTATGTAGGGTTTCCAAGGAGCAGCTGGTGAGTTTGAATCACTGACTTTGTGGTTCAAACCGACATTGAGGTCTGGTGCTTTATCCCACAGCACCACACCACCACTGATAACCATTAAAATAACCTTTGATTTTTATGTTTGTTTATTTTATATACATGAGATCATAAAACATTAGTTTTTTTGTGGCTTAGGTCACTCAGCATAATGTTTTTTGGTTTGCCCATGCTGTGGCATATATCTTCTTTGTTGTTGTTGCTGTTGTTAGGTGCTGTTCAGTTGACTCCAACACATAGCAACCCTAGGCATAATAGAACCGAACACTGCCTAGTCCTGCACCATCCAGCCACTGTGTCAATCTATTTTGTTAAGGATCTTCCTCTTTTTCACTGTGATTCTTCACTTTACCAAGCATGCTGTCCTTTTCTACAAACTGGTGCCTCCTGGTAACATGTCCAAAATAAGAGACAGTATCTCCAACCTCACTTCTAAGGAACATTCTGGCTATACTTCTTCCAACACAGATGTTTGTTCTTCTAGCAGTTCAGGGTACTTTCAGTATTCTTTGTCAACACCATAATTCAAATGCATCAATTCTTCTCCAGTCTTTTTTATTAATTATCCAGCTTTCACAAGCATATTTCAATTGAAAAAACCGTGGCTTGAGTCAGGCACACCTTAGTCCTCAAAGTGACATCTTTGCTCTTTAAATAGGTCTTTTACAGCAGATTTGCCCATTTGATTTCTTAATTGCTGCTTCTATGATTGTTGATTGGAGATTTAAGTAAAATGAAATCCTAGACACCTTCCATTTTCCTCCCTTTATCATATTTATTGGTCCAGTTGTGAGAAATGTTGTTTTCTTTACATTGAGTGTTGTAATCCATACTAATGGCCGCAGTCTTTGATCTTCATTAGTAGGTGCTTCAAGTCCTCTTCACTTCCAGCAAGTGAATTGTGTTATCTGCGTATATCACACTTTGTTAATGAGCCTTCCTTCAATCCATTCTTGGATTGTTTTCTCAGCACACAGATTGAATAAGTGTGGTGAAAGGATGCAATCCTGGCACACACGTTTACTGATTTTTTTTAAATGTTTTATTGTGAATTATATGATAATTTACATAAGAGAACTTTAGTTTTACATTCATTCCATCGTATATCATTTCATTGCCATGGTCCCAATCCCCTCCTTGCATCATCAACCGACCAAACGGTATATTCTAGAAACCCACCCCCTACATTCCCCCCTTCCCCCCAAGTCTTCGGCCCACGGTCCTTCTCCATCTCTGGATCCAAAGTCCCCAGCGGCTTCATCAATCCACGTCATTGTCTCTGTCTCTATCCCAGGCATCTCTGCTTCTCTGGGTAGGGTCCCGCTCTTGGCTCTTTTCCTTTGATGGTCCTAGAGACCTCCGTTCCTAGACTGGAGAATTAATCACTCCCTTCCTTGCTACAAAATGTCTACCTTTGCATTTCCAACCCTCATAATCAGTCCTGATAACCATTATTCACTACAGTATCACGAGTTACCCATCTGTATTTCATTTCATCAGCTCCGCCTAGACAGATTGGATAGTACTCACTGGAGATTCTGCCTTCCTCCATGTCCCCTAGCTCTAGGTTCCCTCTTGAAAGCTTGTAAGCCAGTCACTTCTTGCCTTTGTTGTCCCCCTCTCCCCATTTGGGTATCCAATGTCCAAGTTGCCTATCTCTGTCTACTCTGTGTGTGGAAGGGCTGGGAATGTTTCTTGTTGTAAATATTTGTTTATTCTTTTGAGTCACTGCATCCGTAGGTATAGGTCAAGTTCATCAGATTATATCAGCTCACTCTTTTTTTTCCCTCTTCTTTCTTCTGGTTGAGCTCTGATCATCCAGTCATCTGATCCAGGTCACGTGGGTACCATCTGCAAGTGTGGGCGTTCTTGTGCACATGCCCTCTCTTCCCATCAGCCAGTAGCTCCACTCTCCACTCGAGTCCTCTGTGGCCACGCCACTGACTCTGGGCCCAAGAGTCCCCAGGTCTCCTCACACTGCTTGCCAACCAGGTCCCCAACTGAGCATTTACTGATTTTTAAACCATGCTATTTTTGTTGTTGTTAAGTGTTGTTGAATTGGTTCCGACTCACAGCGACCCTGTATAAGATTTCTGAAGAATGGCTGGTGGGTTTGAACTTCCACCTTGAAGTTCAAATCGACCTTGCAGTCTAGCGCTTATCCTACAGTACCACACCAGGACTCCTTATTCTGTTTGAGGCACTGCCTTTTGATCTATGTACAGGTCCTACATGAGCACAATGAAATGTTCTGGAATTTCCATTCCTTACAATGTTATACACAGTTTGTTATTATCCACACAGTGGATCAATAAAGCACAAGCAATCATCTTTCTGTTATTTTGTTTTCCAGCCAAAGTCATCTTTATTTCAACAATGATATTCCTCATTCCACATCCTTTTCTGAATCTGGCATGAATGTCTAGCAACTCCCTGTTAGAAACTGTTTTTGAATTAACTTCAGCAAAATTTTACTTGCATGTGATGTTAATGATATTGTTCAATACTTTTCAAATTGTGTTGGGTCACCTTTCTTTGGAATGGGCACAAATATGGATCTCTTCCAGTCAGTTGT